ACTAATCCACAGTGCTGTTCAACATTACTTACATAAACACATCAAAAATTTCCCAGAACATAATACATAAATCATCAACTAATAGCGTTGATTGACCTCAAGAAACCACTAGTAAACCCCAGAAAACTCTTCAGTGAATCCAATGATAATATACAAATGGCTTCTAAGAATCTAGATTTCGTTTCACCCAAATCAATAATTTGAATAACTTCAATAAATCACCATTAAACCCCAATAATCATCAAATTGGCTTCAAATTCACAATTTCATCCTCAAGGTTAATCTATTCTCAACTTCCAATTAGAAATATAACCAAACAAAATCAAGATTCGTCGCATCGATTCGATAAGAGCAAAAGGACAAATCAACTACGAGCGACAGATTCATCGAATCGAAGAACATAGAGAAGAGTTTTACCAGTCATCTTCTTTGCTTTTGGGATGGTGACAAAATGAGAGAGAGAAATTCGATGGAAATTAGGGGATTTTTATAGGGTTTTACGATTGATTTCTTCTGGGAATATCCGTTGAGATGAAATTTGCACAAGACAAACATAGAGAATTAGTAGTCTATTTGAAAAATACACACGTCAAGAGCCAGACTGGATTACCAAAATTATTGGGTCCTACAATTTAATGTTTTATGCTAATTATATGTAACTTAATAAGCTTTTTTAACATATTATATACTCATTTTCTTAATTTAGCCCACTAATGTTTTATGCTAATTAAGGATTTTATAACCTTTTTGGCATATTTAACCAAACATATTACAAAACTCATTTCTTAATTTTGTCCTCGGGCAATTATCTAATGGGCCTCTATTAAAACCAAGAATCATGGGCCTTTACCAGTAATCCTGTTTTTATTACTTTATTAACGCGAGGCCGATTTGAGAAATCACCTATGACACCAAAATATTAAAATAATGAGGCAATTACAAAAATACCACTTTTTATGTGCACATTTGCAAAAATACCATTTAGGAGTGTCTATTTATAAAAATGCCACTAATTATAGATTTATAAAGTCTATATCTTAAAATTATAAACCCTAAAAAATATTTTGACACCTAAAACTCCCTAAACACTCAAAACTAAATCCTAATAGAACATAATTAACCCAAACATAAATAACATAAGAAAAATAATTTTGAAAAAGTGGCATTTTTGTAAAGATTTCAAAAGTGTGGCATTTTTGTAAAATGGCACTTGAAAAGTGGCATTTTTAAAATTTTTCAAAATAATTAAATATTATAAGGGACAAATTAGAATATTGTAATA